AAACAAGAAATTTTTTTTTTAAATGTAAAAGAAGATATAAGACAAAAGTGTAATATTTCCAAAATTTCGTGTCTTCACATTAAATCATAGAAATTAATATTTATATAATATGTACGGTGTGTATACAAAATCATAATAGAAAAAAAGAAAAAAAAAAAGAAAATTAAAATAATCTAATGTCATTATTCTTGTTATCGTTTTACACAGAACATAAATATATGTGTATAATAAAAACACACACATACACACACACACACATACATACATACATAGACAAATTTGAAACAATATTAATTACACATGTAAGCAAAATTTTCTATATAAAATGTAGTTAATGTGATTTTTGATTGAAAACATAGACACGAAATTATATATAACACATATATATACATATATAAATTAATAATAGTTGTGTGTATAAGATAATATAACAAAGAAATGTTTTCTCATCAAAGCCATGCTTAATTTCACAATCCCAAAGGATTTATTTTCCTTATCTATCTTCCAACGATAGGTAGCTACAATATGGTGTAACGAAATTCTTGATTAATATATATGTATATACACACACATATATTGTACATTCTTCTTTCTCTCTTTCTCTTTCTCTCTCTCTCTCTCTCTCTCTCTATCTTTCATCTTCCATGTTAATTTTATCTACTAATTTCCCATGGCTCCGTTGCTAGTATTCTCGATTTTACTTAACAACCTTATATCTCATTCGAAGACGAATTTTAATCATTTTTATGAATTCTTATTCATTGTATATATATATATAATATATTTGTGTTTTATTTAATTTTAAATTCGATGTTATCTGTGTACGAAAAAGAGTTCTCGTTGAAAAAAAAGAAAAAAAAAGAAATTAAAATCGAAGAATGTTTATATAAAAATAAATTCTATATAAAAAAACATAGAAGTCTATATAAAACATAGAAGTTTGAAATGGTGTCATCAATTTAATTATTATTATTATTATTCTTTTTTTTTTCTTTTTCTTTTTCTTCTTTTTAATAATTTTCACTTTTTCGTTGTGTGCCTTAGTTAGGGGGTAAAAATAAGTTATTGTCACATACAACCACAAGCTTCGACGACCATGTTAGGTAAAGTCTTCTGTTTTATCGTGCTGTTACTGTCGATATATAGAAGTTGCATCGGTGAGAATTGAGTTGGCGAACAACAGGGTACAATTTCTTTTTCGTGATGCACCAGATTCCATTTCTGTAATTTAACGTTGATTATAATATACATATTTTGTTGATTTTGACCATTTATTTATTTTTTTGTTTTCAACTCGACAATGATATTTTTCTTTCTTTTTTTTGATGGAATTTTTGAAAAGAAATTAACTTACAGTGAACATAATTGAGAATTTATGATATTGTATAATATCAAACAAAATTGTTTCACACATATACACAGACGTGGTGTCACGATGTTATATATTTATATTTATTTATTCTTAATAATTTAATTTTTGATATATATTATTCCAGGTACACGCGTAAAATGATTTATTAAAAAATAATCTGATATTATATATAATTCAAGATTTGTAAGATTAATTTAATTAATTAATTGATTGATACGTTGTGTGTGTAAGTCATAATGATGATGATGGTGGTGTCATTTTTAAATTATCGAGAAGAAAGAAGAAATTTGAAATGAAGTTAAATTACTTTTCATTTTTATTTCTGTTTAAATGAAGGGTGTCGTTTTAAGGGTTGGCAAGAACGTTCTCTTTCTTTGCTTTTACTTTTTCTTTTTCTTTTTCTTCTTTTACTTTGGAAAAAAAAAGAAAATGTTAATTAAATGTTTTCAGATAGTTATCTTTTCCTTCTTATTAGATATTACGAAGGATGAAGGACTTGACGTATAACAGAGTTTTATGTTCCAAGATAATGGAGTCTTAGCGAGCCATTATCGTTACGAGTTGCAAACTATATTGCTCAAATTATGGTATAGTCAGTTGTTATAAGGTTACTCGTACTTTCTTCAAACGACTTTTATTAACAATTAATGTTACTAAGAAACGTGTTCGTGATATTGCATATACATTAGACGCCACATGCATATATAATTTTATTATTTTCTTCGTGAAAAGTTATAGCGTATAGAATTTTTTTCTTTTTCTTTTCTTTTTTTATGTCGACAGATTCGTTAAATATCTTTTTGATAATATTTTTAATAATCGTAAAAAGTAGATACTTTAAATTTGTTCGTATTTTTTAATTCTTTGGGAATCTAGTGGTATTTTATTTTGTAATGATTATTATAGAAAACAAAGTATATATATAAAAATATATTATAATAAATATTAATTTAATTAAATTGAATTTTTTTTTATGTGCAAAAAAAGAAAAGAAAACAATTAAAAATTCTTTCGAAATTAAGAAGAAAAACAAATGTGATTGCAATTGAAAATAATATTTAATATTCAAACGAATGATAAATATCAATAAACACGAACACACGAACACGACTTTTATTACCAATTAATGTTATTAAGAAACGTGTTCATGATATTGCATGTACATTAGACGCCACATGCATATATAATTTTATTATTTTCTTCGTGAAAAGTTATAGTGTATAGAATTTTTCTTTTTCTTTCTTTTTTATATCGAGATTCGTTAAATATCTTTCGGATAATATTTTTAATATTATCGAATAGTAAAAAGTAGATACTTTTAATTTGTTTCTTCTTTTCTAATTCTTTGCGAATCGAATGTTATTTTATTTTATAACAATTATTGTAGAAAAAAAAGTCTATATATATATATATATATATATAGAAATATAA